GTATGGCATTGTGACGGAAGTGCATTTCCTGAAGAAAGACAATATCCACCCTCTGTTTAAAAAGGTGCGAAAGCAGGAGAGAGCACTTTTTCAGGGGTATTCAGACCCTTCACATTAATAGACAGAAACTTTCAGCGAAAGATGTCCTGACAGGGAGTTGAGCGAAGGCATGTCCAGGAGAGTAAAGGGAACCTAAAGGGATGGGAAAAAGGGAGTAAGAAAAAAAAAAAAGGGGTAAAATCGGGTGGTGGAGGGGGATGGGGAGAAGAAGGGGGGGGAGAGAGGGGAAGGAAAAGAAAAGAAATGAAAAAGGTAGAGGAAATTAGGGGGGAGAAAAGAGAGAGAGAGATAACCGGCAGTGGGGGTAGGGACCAGCTGACCCACCAAGATGTGGGAAGGAGGAAAGAAGAACAAGAAAGAAGAAGGGTGGGGGGTAGGAGGGAAACAGCAGAAAGAGGAACAAGGAATGAAAGGAGATGAGAAGCAGAGGACAAAAGAGTAAAAACGGCCGGAAAAAGTTCAGCGAGAGCTCTCAAAGCTTTGCTGTGTGGGAAACGCGGTGGACTTAGATCCACAGTGAAAGAGTCCGCCGGGTCATGGACCTTAAAAAAATGCAAGAATAGGGGAAGGAGGGTGAGCACAATTCGTTTTGAATGAAGATATAGATGGGGGCACAACCGCCATCGTCAGCATAATGGGTGAGGTAAGACGCAGCAACAAGCTTAGGGATATCAGAAGGAAAATGTAACAAATGTCATGAGGGCAAGGAGACCGAATATATATATCATTAGGGCGTATTGTGGTGGAAAACATTGTATGTAGGGAAATTAGAAAATGCACATCTAAGTGGAATGCAGTCGTGGCATGATAATAAGTTATGGACAGAGTTGTGGTATCGTAGGTGTGCCATGGTAGGGCCAGTGTGCGAGTCCATGCTGAAAATAAAACATCAGTGAAAGCCAGATGGAAAACCTGCATATCATTAAGATGAAAAGCAAATCGTATCATAATCTGTTTAGGGCAAAAACATTGCAACATCACAGAGAAACAGCAGGGCAACCATTCAGAAAAAAAAAAGCAACCATCAAAGGAAACAATTGGGAAAAAATGAGACATAGTGCACCATTTCTTTTTGGAACCCTAAGGTATCTTCTCATCTGTCCTAACTCTTCTCTTCCCGACTTCCTCCCAAAAACTTAAACCATCCATCTCCCATCCCGCTCCCGCAGGACTCCACAACATTCTAAAAATCAAGTAGCACCTCGTGTCTGAAAAGAAAAAATAGCGGTAGTTAGGCAAGGGGAGAAGATGGGACTAGGGGGGAGCTCAGCAGAAGTTATAAATATGGTTTCAAAAACCTGTAAGCAGTAAATGTGATTTAGATGGGTGTTATGACATGGGTGGAGGAGGGGGAACAATACCTGGAGAGTGTAACGAGGTGATACTTGATTTTCAAACAGATATGTAACATAATAGTATGGAAATGACAGCCGGGTCCCGGATCCCTTCCTCCCCCCCAACCCAGTCCTCCCCCGCCATCCCACACTACCCTGGAAAAGGTTATATAAAAGGTGAGCTGGAGTATGAAGCTTCTCACAGTAAACTCTGATGAACAGTAGGGATCATGCTCAGGGAAATACAGACAATATGTAATGGAGGGCATGGAAATCACCCCTGACCACTGCAAGAGCAACAAAAGACCCCTGGGAGGCCATACAACCAAACAGGTGCCGAGCATAGAGGGGCTGGAGATCCATACTCTCCAGAGACTCTAGGCAGCGGGCAAATCAGCATATACATTACAAACAGGACATGGAGGGTGCCTGCGGAGGTACATCAGGACTGGCGGTCCATTGGAGAAGTTGAGACGGAGAGGGAAAAGGTATTCATGATCGATGAGGTGAATTTGGCAACATCTGCAGGGGCATTAAAAGACCTGGACCAGGGCGGATGGGTTAGAGAGCAGAAAATGAAAGGGTGAAGGTGTACAGTTAAGGGGCTAAATAGGACCCGAGGTGCTACCGGAATGGTCCTGGAGTCGGATGGGAGGGATCTGGTAAGATCATAGTCTGGATAAGTATTGCTGATGAGAGAAAGTCAGGGGAAGAGATCGAAGAAAGGCCTTTAGGCATCATGGCGGGGTCTGCGATGTGCAGGAGAGGCCGTCGGGCTGTTGGCAGTGGAGCCTCTGGCAGGAAGTCTCGGAGGAGTGGAAGCGACCGATCGGCGGTGGCAGAGATGGGGGCCTTGCCAATCCATGTCACTTGGTACTCGACCAGATTCAGTAGCATTTGGAAGACGCAGAGATCTGCACCAATCTGGAAGCTCAACTAGAGGAATGTCTAGTGCGGAACAGAAGCTTGGGAGATCCTCTGGAACTCGCAGGTAGGCTGTGCGCCCCTGAGCTTGAGTGGAGAGACAGAATGGAAATCGCCACCTGTATGGTATGTTATGAGAGCGAAATGTGTCCAGCAGGGGGCGAAGTTCTCGCCTTTGTTGCAAGGTTATGGAGGAGAGGTCCTGGAACAGGTGTATCTCATTACCCTGAAATAAAAGGCGTCTTCTTTCTCTGGCCCTTCTTAGAATGTCTTCTTTGATTGGAAAGCTGACCAAGCAACACACCACATCTCTTGGGGGGTCAGAATCTTTGCCTCTGGAGTGAAGCGCTCTGTGTGCACGTTCCAGATCAATGGGTGCAGCAGGTGGACGGCCCAGCAGATCATTGAAGATCGCAATTACTGTTTTGGGGATGTCGCTCGGCTCCACAGATTCAGGCAAGCCACGCAATCTGATATGATGTCTGCGACCTCTATTATCCAGATGTGTGCGATACTGACAACTGCTGTATCTCCACTATGGCAGCAGCATTAGATCTGCTTGTGAACTCCACCTCCTCTATTCTTGTACTTAACAAATGAAGGTCTTCCCTTAGGTCACTAAGGGCTGTGGTAAAAGTAGCTTTAATGTCACCTGCAACTGCCTGCAGATCTCTTAAAGAAAGTGTATGAGTGTCTAAAGAGAGATCATGCTGTGGGACAGATGCAGTGCCAGCCCAGTGTCTGTGCTCTGTACACCCTGAGCACATGTTTCTGTAGGGGGGGGGAGGGGGATGCTGCATGTGGCCTGTCCCTCTGCTGAGAGCTGAACAGCTCCTGAATATGTCTAGACTGCTGGGGGTTATGTGCCTGCGGGAAAGCGGCAGGAGCCGGACCTTCCGGTCCACTTTCCCCATCATATAATGGCTCTGTCTCACCCGCTCCTCTGTTAATATCGATGCAAGGTCTCTGGCTGGCAGGAGCTCCTGTGTCATGCAGCCATCTTGGATCTCGGCAGACCACGCCCCCCCGGAAATAGGTATTTATAATGTTTTTTAAATCTATACTCCAATGTTTTTTCCCTTTATTTCTATTTTAAATTGAATGGTTTTTTTTTTACAAGTTGAGGGTTTACAAACACTTTAAGGCAGTCCAATGAAATGAATAGGTTTTCAACGCACCCTAGTTTGTCCAAAATTTCATATGACCCTTTTTGTAATGCAATCCACGGTAAGAATACCGTAGGTGCATCGCCTTACTGCATTGGGTTGTCATTCAAAATGAATGGCCCCGCATGTTATTATTATTATTTTATTATTATACAAGATTTATATAGCGCCAACAGTTCTGCTCAGCAATATATATATTACAATATAAGGGAGACAGTACAATTACAATAAATTTCAGTACAGAAGGAATATATTACATGCATTACTGCGCATTGTGATAATCCATGTGTTCCCACAAGGTGGTAATGTAAATGGGCCATAAAATTTTGGATTTCTAATTCTTCTTTTTCATTGTCACCAGGGCTAATAGAGTAATTTTATCTATCTGGGGCACAGACAGCAAAAACGTTATGGAGGATAACTTCTGTAACTAAAAAAATAATTTTGACTTATTCTTAGATACATCTTTACTATTTCCAGCACAAGGCTCCAGTATGCTGAATGTAATGCGTATATGGCGTGAACTATGTGAATCAACCAGCAGAGAGAGTCAGAGATACATTTCCCTTCATTTCATACAATAAATACAGTACAATGCTGAGTAGAGGTGACTCACTTGTTCCAGGTCACACGGATCAGAAAATGTTTTCTAAAACTGACGAGACACAAAATTATCATTGTTTCAAGCTACAGCAACGGCACACAGAAAGAATAATATGTACCAACCAAAGAGACATATCTCACAGAATGACATTCAGGAAAACAGAACCATCTAGCAGTAGCACATCTGGCATGGGGTGATTTCTCCTACAAGATGGTACAAGGGTGGACTGTGCTGATGGCTGGAGCTTAAAACAATAAGGTCTGTCAGACAATTGTAGGGAAGAAATGGGAGGCAAGCAGCTAAGCATGCAGCAGGTACCTGCCTTCTACTGTTGACTATCTGGGTAGCTCTGTAAGTAACCATATACTAGTAAAAGAGAGATGTAACATTACATTCAGTCCATGGGTGCTTGTCCTCTACAGAAAGTGATGCAGTGGTGGAAGGAACTGGATAGTGAAAGGGGAGCTGTAACATCAAACAAGGTCCAAATGGGGATGTGAGAATGTAATATTTTAATTTCTGTTGATAGCTTGTGAGTTCTTGAAGTGGACAAGCTGAGGTCATGGAGCACCATGGCAAGAGGGCATACACATACAGTATGTGAAGCAACAATGAGGAGTGCAAGGGATGGCAGTCTACATCGGTGCACATGGACCTCTACAGTTTGTGTCTACCATTACACAGAACCACAGTAGTTCACGCTTAAAGTGTTACTAAACCCAGGACCCTGCATTCACTATCTGGTCTCCCACAGTACACAGAACATGGAAATGCAATTATTTTAGTAAATAGAAACAACTAAATACCTTTTCTCATCAACATTCTATAACAGTCTTGTGACTTCTATCAGTGTCCAGCTGAGCACTGGTTAAAGCTTGAAGGAGGAGTTTTCATTCTGCTCTGACTGTCCTATGGGCTGCATAACCCCTGACACTCTGTCTGGACAGCGCTGATTGGCCCTCTGCTGATCACATGCACCCTCCCAAAGAAAAAAAACTCTCTAGCAATATACACTACACTGAGCATGTGCAGAGTGACTCCTAGAGTTTTGTACTATGGCAGATGGATTGGGGACAGTTAAAGAAGGGGAGGATCAGAGAAGATAGGAACAAACAGCCTTTTTACACAATGCAGAGGATTAACCCCTTAGGTTGCACAGTGAATATTCATTCGGTATATGATTGGGTGCTAGCAGCTCCCCACGTTCGGTAGCATTGTCCATTTAAGAGCGCAGGAGGATCATACCATAAAAGCATGCTTTACTGCATATACAGACTGATTTTATTGCTGTGGGTTTAATAACACTTTAATAACATTTCCTGTGTATATGTGCTATGGCTACGGAGGAGTACATATCTCAGTGTTATATTGAGGGACTGCTTGTTTGAAGGGGTGTTCAGTGAAGGCTTTCATTTGATGACAGTGCTGGACATAGATTCTGAGAAGCCATTTAAATGCCATCTGATGCTCATAATTATTGCTGTACACTTCTACATTCTCTCTTTCCTTTGGGTCACCTGTCTAAAGCCTGTCAAGAACCCATGTGGCAGCTAGAGTAAACTGTGGCCACAAGTTGTGCAATTTGTCTGTGTTCCCTGCCACATCTCAGTAGTAGCCAGAATCACTTCCGTTGATGTTATCAACAGAAGAAAAAAACACCACAACCCTTACACTGCTGAAAACCTAAACCTTTAATTGTTAATGATTAATTATAGAATTTAGTATACTCTTCCATCCTGACCATCTTGATTTCCATGTTGTTCTTCAGTAACAACCCCCTAACAGTCATAGACCAGGAACAAGCATGTTGCAAAAGAGTATCAGAAGTGTCCAAATTTCTTGTTGATACTTGTTACTAGTTAGTGGTTTGGACAGCATTAAAGCCAAGCATGGCAGCCACAGAACTAGCATTTCAAAAGGATAGGTCAGCAACAGAAACCACCGTTTTCCTCTCTTGACGGATTCCCTTCAATAAAAAAGATAGATGGCTAAACATGATAATAAGGCTTTAAAACCATTATGCTAGGCCAACCTCCAGGTTTCCACCTGTAACGCTACCCTCTTCTGGGCCATTGTGTTTCTGCGTCACCCTAAACTTCGCACAGCCAGGTAACATGCATTTTCCACACTTGCATCCACAGTCAGTGAACAGTACATGAGCTTGGTTATTGTTATTTATTAGGGAATACAGCTTGGATAGGGTAAAAGGGATTATGGGATGCCCAACTTGGCTGAATCAATGCAAAGGGAAAACTTTCTTCGTATTTACAGAAACAGATTGTGGACTGTTCTATTCCTAGAAAGCGGGCAGTCATTACGGATCAATAGCAACTGCCCCTTACAGGCTAGGGACATGCAACCCCTTCTGAAAGTTAGATTAGCTTTTTGTAAACTACATGCAGAGATGTCTCCTCTCCCTTGTATAACATTTCCCAGCTCCACAGCCTGCAGACACTACCAGCCCTCCTGGCTGCTCTCAAGATCTCCCAGGACAAAGATAAAGGATTAAGCACAGTGCTGTCCTTTGAAAGCTTGCTACATGTGACAGTCTCTCCCCTTGTAGATCCCTAGGTGTGCTGATGTACTCGCTCTGTCTTCCTTGCTTCCACTGCTCCCAGGCCTTTATCCTGTTCATGTTTTGATGCTGAATGGACTCTCCTGAGCCAGCCCGAGCCAAGCCTGAAAGCCTGCCCCCCTATTATTATTATTATTATTATACAGTATTTATAAAGCGCCAATAGTTCGCTCAGCGCTGTACATTACAAAAGGGAGACAGAACATGTGACAGAACAATACCAATACAATGCAAAACATGAGGGGATCAAGGGCCCTGCTCTTTCGAGCTTACAATAGGGGACCCATTCTAGACCACCGACAGTCTATTCAGCACTCCATCTTCCACCCGACCTCCCCTTGCCAGCCTGACTCACCTATATATGTGCAGATTAGGTCTCCACCCCTTCCACCCACTGGCTTCTGGAAGATTCCATGGTCTTCCAGAACCAGGTGGAGGCAATAGAGTCCCAACCTCTGAAGCCATCCAGCCCGACCTGCAGTAACCTGATCTAATTACAGACTCACACAGTTACCATGAGTCTCACACACATTAAATTTACCTACACTACCCTAATAGCACATTAGAGGGTGCTCTACACATCTCTCCGCCATGAGGAGTTAGTGACACCCCAAGTCCAGCCAGCAGTATTGCATTGACAGACTGAAGTCAATCAACCAAATCCAGCCAACCATGTTTCAGGTTTTCATTTACCTAAATGAGGTGTTAAACTTGACCCTTCTTTTTTCCTACAAGTTTATAAAATGGCTGCATTCTTTCTCTCTCCAAGGTTGGACATCATGACTTATTTAGGTACAGAAACGTAGACATACTGTAGGTATTAATATGAAGGGTTTAGCACACATAAGCATTGAGAAAAGAGTTTACTTTGCAATGTGTCTTAAAGTGTTATTAAACTCTTTTATTTTTATTACATGTAGTTTATGCCATAATGTGCTAGTATGCACAGCAAATTAGCACATTATGACAGGGTTTAGCTGTCATAATGTGGCCTCCAGCACTTCCATCTTCGCCCAGTCTTCCAGATTCTGTCTGTTCAGCCATTTAAAGTGTTACTAAACCTACAACAGTAAAATAGTCTGTATATGCAGTAAAGCATGCTTGTTATACTCGCTGTGGAACCTACGGGGTTAATCGTCTGCATAGTGTAAAAAGGCTGTTCGATCCTGTCTTCTCTGATCCTCCCCTTATTCTACTGTCCCCATTTCAGCTGCTGATTGTACAGAGCCCTAGGAGACACTCTGCACAATATTCAGTTCGATGTATATTGCTTTTTTTTTCCGGGAGGGTGCATATGATCGGCACAGGGCCAATCCGCGCTGTCCAGACAGGGGGCCAGGGATCATGCAGCCTCATAGGACAGTCAGAGGATAATGAAAACTCCTCCTACAAGATTGAGCAGTGCTTGGCTGGACACTGATAGCAGTCTGCTATATACTGCTGTATATTGCTGATGAGAAAAGGTATGATGAGAAAAGGTATGATGATGAGATGCTGACGTCAGGGAAAGAAGAGGGGAAGAAGGGATGGCTCGGGTGAGCACATCGCTGGATCCCAGGACAGGTAAGTGTGTGTTTATTAAAAGTCAGCAGCTACAGTTTCTGTAGCTGGTGACTTTTAATAAACACAAATACAACTGTAGCTCCTCTTTAAAGTGTCTCTAAATCTAAAAACATTGTTTTTACCTTAATGCTTTCTCTGTATTAAAGTAAAAAAAAACATTTTGCCACTTACTGTGACCCCCCCCCCCCCCCCCAAACACTTACCTGTGTAGGTCCAGAGCTGTGCCCATCTGCAGGTCTTCCTCTTCTCATAGGCGGATCAGGCAGCAGGGGGAGCCATTGGCTCCTGCTGCTGTCAATTAAATCCTGTGGGCAGGGCCAAGCCACACAGTGCATGTCTATGGACACACTCTCTGGCTCGAGAGCGAGCCCTCTCGTCTGCCCCCATAGCAAGCATTTTGCTATAGAGACACAGAAGAGGGGGAGCAGACAGTGCTGGCGGGGGGAACTCAGAAGAGGAGGCTTGGGGCCGTTCTGTGCACAGAGCAGAAAGGTATAACATGTTTGTTATTTTAATTAAAAAAATGCATTTAGAAATACTTTAATACCGCTTTAAGGCCTACACCATTGGCAAAAGTTTCCTTCACTTACTGTCACTGTGATGCCCATACAAGAAATAATCAGTAATAAGATCACAGCCAGTAGTGAAGTTTTTTTTTTTTGCTGGCTGTCCCTCTATTACTGATTATTTCTGACCTGGTTCTAACCTTCCCCATTTAAAAAAAAAAAAAAACTTTAAGGGGGCAGTTTGATTTGAACTACAGGCCCGTTCTTGATGTCAGCAAAGTCCCCCTCACATAAAATACATCAACTTTGAGATCATTTGAAAGGCTTCTGCGTGCATCATCACTATGTACAAGCAGGGTGTCAAGGTCATACCTTTCTTCAGAGCTTGTGCATCTCCATGTGCTGGCATCCATTTTGGGTTTCTGCAAAGCATGGTGGGAACCTTTATGCCTTCAGGCTTCTGCGGCTCCTCCTCAGAAGGGTGTGATTGAGCACATTTAAACCTGCTGTCTGCAAGTGCTCTCTGCATTAGTGTCCTGTATGTTTCCTTGTTGCAAGCTCTTGTTCTGTTCTCGTTGCTCTCCTGGTAAACGACTCGGCTTGGACAAGACTATTCGCTGCTTTAACCCTTTACCTGACCTCCTGTTGCTGAACCCGGCCCGTGACCTGAGTATTCTTTGCTTACCGTCTTGTACTGTCTGCTCCGTTGTTATTGACCCAGCCTGTCTGACTACGCTACACGTGTTCCCATCTAGCTCCCACCAGCTGTACGCCATTGGCGGCAGACGTTACCGCAGCTGGGGTAACTCGGGGGCCGTGACCTGGTCTCAGGCTGCGTCAAGTCCATCCCCACCATCAGGGGCCCTGGTGAAGGGTAGCCTGGGGCTTAGACTCCGTGCCCTGAGGGACTCTGGTCTGTGGGTAGTGGCTGTCGTCAGTCGCGGCGTGACCATACCATAGGCCTGCCTGCCCATTCCATCGTTCCTGCCCTGACACAGGGCTGCAGTTAAAAACCATGGGGGCCCATACAGCTGACCTGACAGGGCCCCCATAAAAACCCCCCCAAAACAACAGTTATGAATGAACACAGTGAGTGATCGGTACCATTCATTCAGGAAAGAAACGGGCTGGTAAATGTAACATATTTACATGAGCCTCCCCCCATTCTCCATCCTGAAAGATCCTATTGAAGGTGGCAAGCAGAGGAGGGAAGCCAGCAGCACTGTGGGGTTGGGGGCACACAGGGGGCCCCTGGGTGGCAGAGAGAAACGTATGGAGCACAGGGAGGGTGATGGGTGCAGTGAGGGGGATAATTATTGGAACTAATGTTCCAACCCAGTGGTGTATTTAGGTTTTGTGCTGCCCTAGGCAACACAAAAATCATCTGCACCAACAGACACCGACCAACACACCCCCTTCCCACGAAGAGGGCCTGACATTGACCAACAACACCCCTGCCCCTTACCTGTGAGAACCTTCCACTACCACTCCCAGCGATAGAGAGAAAGTCACCCATCTTCACAGCTCCGGATATCCCTGGGATTCAGAGTCAGGCTCTAAATACACCATCAAGCAGCCTGCAACCTCTCTCGTAATCCCACCTGGTCCCCATGGTGTGCATGTCTCTTCTTCCATCCCTTTTTCTGGGGGGAGGTGCTGCCCCCCTGAAAAATGCCGCCCTTGGCAAGTGCCTTGTTTGCCTTGTGGTAAATACGCCCCTGTTCCAGCCCTGTATGACTATCTCTGCATCAGCTGGGAGGGAGAGGAGCAGAATCCAGATTTCAGCTGCTGCAGTAAGAGCCATACAGGGGATCATTGCCAGTAATCCCCCCCTCCACATGCCTTGCTGATCACCCTCCCTGCCCACATCCATTTCACCCAGCTGCATGGGCCCCCCTGCTGGCCTTGGCCCCATATAGGAGGACTGGTGGTACCCCCTTATCCACAGCCCTGTGTACAAGGTCATGCCCTTATTGGCTGTCACCATATCTTTTTAACTTTTGATTGCTTACCTGTAAGTAGTGTAGGAGGAGCTTTACTTTGGTTGAAAATCATTATAATGCCATTCTGGCCTAATCAGTACCAGTTTAGCCACAAAAAAATGTCAGTTTATGAAATAAGATCGTATTCATTTGCAGCTTGCTTGTCTCACTGTGTATGAAGAGTGAACATTTGTACTAGGCAGCAGGATCAGGCAGATTGAGAACTTTGCCCAGTCCTGTTTCTGGTAATAGGGCAGAAATAAACAGGCCAGTGCTGTGATGTGCTATCTCATCGGCAATAAAAACGGGAGATTCCTCCAACATACCCTAAACTGTGGACATTTATGTCAATTGTGAACAAGGTCAAAAAGATATATTGTCTTTAGTTCAGATCTGAAAAGTTGGATCTTCCCATGCAAAGCGTCTATTGCACTAGATAATCAGTCCTGTGTTTATTCACCTGTTAGTAACATCCCATAGTAGAAGCCGATACCATGACAAAATGCCTGTGTTGTGACCACAGGAGTGCTAAGCAGTAACAGCTATTCTGGGTCAGTGAACGCACCTTGGTAAGGACGTGTCACTGCTGACTAATGCTGGGACATGTCAGGACTTGCAACCAGCCAACATTTTGTACTAGTTTATTTATGGTCTTGCTAACTGAAAGCCACATCTTTCACGGTAATTTCTGAAATAACCTGATTTCTAGGAAACCAGTCTGTCAACATGTTTTGGGCTTCATGTAAACGAGCAGCTGCTAAACTCGAGTTTAGGAGCTTTTGGCATTTTTTTGCCAAAGCTCCTAAACTCAACTCAGTAACAGCCCATGTGTCCATGTACACAGGCTTTTAGCAGAGTTTTGGGAGCTGCAGCGTTTAGGTGAAGTTAAACCTCCCTCTCCAGAACGCAAAGGAATCATGTTCAGGATAGGAACGTTTTGACCGCCAACCCTGGGAAAACACAAAACGTTAAAAACGCAATAAAAAGCAGCAACAGTAATGTAAGGGAATGTCTTTTTAACTGGCATTCATTCTTTTTGTATAATGCCTCCATTTCTAGATGTGTAAACAGTTAGTTTTGCTTGTAACTCCTCTCGTTTCCTGAGTCGAGTTTCTATTCTCAGTAAACAGAACCACTTTATATGGTATTTATCAACCATTTGTAGTTTCTATCTTCTTTGATAAGAGTATAATATTTCATTGGTCATCCTAAAATTAAGCAACACCTATTGGGCTCTGTATAACAGTTCTTGTCATGCATTAAACTCTCAGAGATTTAGCTTTATCTAGCTTTGGAGCTTTATTTAGCTTTGGAGCTTTATTTCTCCCGGGCCTGGTCGTGAAAAATAATCGAGGACAGTAGGGATACAGACAGAAATTGATCCTATCACGTGGTACTGCGATTTGCCGATTGGTCAGAGTAGGCTCGTGTACATAAAGCCTGAGGCTCCATCTACACTGCAGCTGATAAACTCACGTTCAGGAGCTTTTCTGCATTTTTTCAGCAGCCCCTGAACTCTCCCTAATGTTTCCCTATGTGTCCATGTACACTATGTTGTTTACAGTCGTTTACAGGCAGTTGAGTTTGCGGTCGTTTTTGGCCGCACCAAACTTGCGTTCAGGAGTAGATTTTATCAGCGTTTCAAATGACAAACGCTTGTAAACGCGTCTAAACACGGCTAACCGCGTTTATAAACATTTGTTTTTTGGAATTTTTTTTAACTCTTCCATTTCCAGATGCTGTCCAGAGCCTTTTTTCATCATGAAAAATGCATGCAAAGCATTTTCCCGATACTCAAATGGATCTGGTACACCATACTTTGAGAAAATATGGTAGACACTGCTGCTATAATTTCTGCACAGAAATGAGCTGGAACACATCCAAACACCACAAAAAAAAAAAGACAGCTAATCTCAACAAATACTGCTCTCTCTGCTTCTGCTCTCTATTTCTCTCAAAATGTCTGAAATAGTAAATTTTTTACTGTTTTTCAGTGCATTCTGGGCATTTTGGAAAGTCGCCTGAGGTTATCTTTAAAAAAACACTTCTAAACGCAAACGCTCATAAACGCAGTATGCAAACACGGCTAAACAAACATTTTTTAACCTACGTTTTCCAGCAGTCAGTTTCCATTGTTCAGAAGTGTCCCGTGTACATGGAGACTTAGTCAGTTCTGTAATCCTGGCACAGGGTAGTATCTCTGGGCCCACAGCGAGTATTTCTGGCACACAGCGGCAGCAGGTAATCCTGGCCCCGGGTAGTATCTCTGGGCCCACAGCAGGTATTTCTGGCACACAGCAGCTGCGGGTAATCCTGGGTTAGGCAGAGTGCTTAGCGGGCATGGCTGCGGGGGTCTGGCCTCAACTCAGAGCTCCCAGCAGCTCCAGGGACCAGCAGCAGAAGAAGACACCAACAGAGTATTTCCGGACACACAGCGGCAGCGAATAATCCTGGCACAGGGTAGGCAGAGTATCTCTGGGCCCACAGCGGGCATTTCTGGCACACAGCGGCAGCGAGTAATCCTGGCACAGGGTAGGCAGAGTATTTCTGGGCACACAACGGCAGCGGGTAATCCTGGCACAGGGTAGGCAGAGTATTTCTGGGCACACAACGGCAGCGGGTAATCCTGGCACAGGGTAGGCAGAGTATTTCTGGGCACACAGTGGCAGCGGGTAATCCTGTCACAGGGTAGTATCTCTGGGCCCACAGCGGGTATTTCTGGCACACAGAGGCAGTGGGTAATCCTGGCCCCGGGTAGTATCTCTGGGCCCACAGCGGGTATTTCTGGCACACAGCAGCTGCGGGTAATCCTGGGTTAGGCAGAGTGCTTAGCGGGGATGGCTGCGGGGGTCTGGCCTCAACTCAGATTTCCCAGCAGCTCCAGGGACCAGCAGCAGATGAAGACACCGCCTGGGTCCCGCTCCGACCTTCTTAAGGCCGAAGCAGGACGCTTCCCGGTTGACCTGGCAATGTCCGGCCCAGTGCTGGGGCAATGAGGCACGCCCCCTGACTCGAGCCGAGCTCTCGTGATTGCGGCCTTTGTCTCCAGCGGGCGCAGAGCGCGGGAAGCCTCGTGCCCGAGCTGCGCCCACCGGGGGGGACGCACTGAGACATCCCGGCGGCCTGCACTGGAGGTCTCCTGGAGGGGGTCGCGACTCTCTGGTGACATTGCCTGGAGAGGTGCGACCCGCACCACAGGGGCCGCTTCCTCCCATCCTGAACAGCCTTTGAAGTAGGCTGTGATAGGATGTGAGGAATCTGCAAAGGGGGAGGGAAGGGTGAAGGAACAGGCAGAAGGACAGCAGGCACAGGGGGGGGGGGGTGGGGGCACGGGGCACACCATGACAGGCCCACGTATAGCAAACCACAGGGACAGGAAAGACAGTATATCACATGGGTTGAGGAACAATTGAAAAAGGAATTCATGGAAAAAATGTTCCCGGTGGAATTGAAGGTTTTTTTACCATGAGGGACATGTGCCCATGTTAGACATAAGGGTTTGTTACATCGAATAATACCTATTAGTGGAATTAGAGTGAGCTGTCTCAAAATGATGTTTTTATTAAGTTTTTTTTTATTGATTTTGCATTGTGCAATTTTATTTTTCCTTTGTCAAGGAATTCATTCTTTAGAACAATACTTTGCAATTTCTAGTCATCTAGTCTAGTACAGTTACATCTTAAGTGATGAAATTGACTCTTGGCTTGACTCGAAGTCAACCCGAAGTTCCTCGGTTCCAGGAATTCCTTGCATTGCACGCTAGTCACGGCGCCTGTCACGGAGTCCACCGCTGACACATACTCCATCCCTGGGACCTGGACACCATTGGATACCTCCGGCCATTGCACTGGCCATATTGAGGACATGCTTTTTTTTTTATAGCGCAAAAAAATTAAAAACGCACAGGCGGACAAATATCAACTGAAAGAAAGCTCAATTCTTGGGAAAAAAAGAACGTAAATGTGATTTGGGTGCAGCGTTGCAATTGTCAGTTAAAGTAATACAGCGCCGTAATGCAAAAAATGTCCTGGTCAGGAAGGGGGGTAAATCCACAGGAGGGTAAGTGGTGAAAAGTCAGCAGCTACAGTTTTTGTAGCTGCTGACTGTTAATAAACACAAAACAGCTGGAACTCCACTTTATTGTTTTGATAATTTTAAGAATATGTAAAGGATTAAGTCAGGTCACAGGGTAGGGTTAGGGTCAGGTTAAAGCCCATTTCTAGATATTTTTTTCTTTTAGAAATGGGCCCCTATCCCCTCCTGCCTGTTTAAAAGTAGAAAATGGCAAGCAGTTCTCACCCTCTTCATGCTCCACGCTCCCTTATTTCCTACTGCATTTTGCATTGCCAGGTTTTTGATCTGAATGACACCCAACATCATTCATCTCAGTTCCTGTGAGCCAAGGGCTTCAAGGGCATTCCTCCTGTGAATGCATGATCAGGCTGCTCTGGTCTTACCCTAGGTTCACACCTAAGCGTTTTCTGCAGCGTTTTGCAGTACAGTCCATTGATTTCCTATGGGACACATTCACACCTGTGCATTTTTTGGAAAGGGTCAGGGACTTTTTCTGAACGCAAAAAGTTGCGTTTTTGTTTCTATAGACTTCAATGGAAACGCTGCAGAGAAGCACGTATTGTGTTTTTGCTGTGTTTTTGATGCGTTTTGCATTTTAAATCTGCCTAGCAAGAAGAAAAAAATCAAAACGCATAAAAATACAAGTGCAAAAAACGCAATGCGAAAAAGGCTCAAACGCATAGGTGTGAATCCAGCCTTAAAGGAGAATGCTGTTAGGAATAGAACTTTGTCACTATGTGTGCGCTCTTCTTTGCAGCTTTCAGAATTTGCGCACTGCAAGAAACCCTGAGTGTCACATGACTGGATTGAAGAAAACCAAAATAATTATGTATATGAAAAAAAAAATACTGAAAGTT